GAGTCTAAGATGAGTGAGCGAGGCCCATAAAACCCCATAAACTTTAAGATGGACTTTTGAGCTTTTTAGACGCTATTTTCAAAGTTTTCATTTGTGCAAAATACACTTAAACCTAACATATAACCCACAGAGTGTGCTCTCAATGTACACAGACATATATAAATATATATATATATATATATACTTAAATGAAGCTACAATACAGAACCAGCTAAACTGAAGAGGCCGATAAAGCCCCGTAAACTTTAAGCTTGCCTTTTCAGTCTTTGCTTTATTTTCCCGTAACCCTCTGATCCTCTCTCTCTCTCTCTCCGTCCCTCCGCAGGTCTGAGTTCGCGGTGGGCGTGATCGGCAAGTTCATCTACGCGGTGGCGGGCCGCACGCGGGACGAGACGTTCTACTCCACGGAGCGCTACGACATCACGGAGGACCGGTGGGAGTTCGTGGAGCCCTACCCGGTGAACAAGTACGGGCACGAGGGCACCGTGCTGAACGGGAAGCTCTACATCACCGGGGGCATCACCTCCTCCTCCACCTCCAAACAGGTGTGCGTGTTCGACCCGGGGCGGGAAACCGCCGTTAGCGTTAGCGTTAGCGTTAGCTCCGACCCTCTCCGGCGTGGCGTTCGGGGCTCCACGGCGCCCCCTGGTGGTTGTGGAGTTGTTGGCGGCACGCATTCTGGTTGCTGGGAGAACAAATCCAAAATGAACTACGCGCGCTGCTTCCACAAGATGATCTCGCACAACGGGAAGCTGTACGTGTTCGGGGGCGTGTGCGTGGTGCTGAGGGCCTCCTTCGAGTCCCAGGGCTGCCCGTCCACGGAGGTCTACGACCCCGCCGCGGACGAGTGGACCATCCTGGCCTCCATGCCCATCGGGCGCAGCGGGCACGGCGTGGCGGTGCTGGGCGGCCAGATCATGGTTCTGGGCGGGCTGTGCTACAACGGCCACTACAGCGACTCCATCCTGACCTTCGACCCCGAGGAGAACAAGTGGAAGGAGGACGAGTTCCCGCGCATGCCCTGCAAGCTGGACGGGCTGCAGGTGTGCAGCCTGCACTTCCCCGAGTACGTGCTGGAGCACGTGCGCCGCTGCAGCTGAGGCCGGCTCATAAACCCCCCCCCCCAGCCCCAGCCCCCCTAAAAGGACAGACACACCCCCAGGACCAACCTGGGACCCGGGTGGACCTGTTAGGAACAGTCAGGACTGAGCTGGACCA